ATTTAAAAAAAACAAAAAAAAGAGTAAAACTCTGTAAAAATAAATGCACTATTAATTTGATTGATTTTAATACCTGCTATATCATCGTCCAGGCTTACTTCATAATCAACATCAGGGATTTCAATTGTATCTGGTATCTCCTTTTCGTCAAAGACATTATTATTAAAAAGTTCATTTACCAAAGAACAATTACCACAGGGCTTATCCCCATATACCAATTCATAGAATGTTTTTTTATGAGACCTGCACCATGAATTGTTCATAGCAACCACTACAAATCTCAAACCGAATGACCAATTATTTCGGCCAGTAGTTTCTCTCTATTTACCTAGCTTTTGCTCTAAAATGCTATTCGTGCATTCCACCAAACCTTGCGATTGAGGGTGTTTTGAGCGCCCATTTATGATCTTTACTGACGGCCATAGCGCAACTAGTTCTTTGATTACTCATGCTACAAACTCTTTTTCATTATCTGACTGCAATATAGTCGGGGGTGATCCGATCATATGAAAAAGGTCAAAGAGGAAAGATGCAACTTCGATTGGTCTTTTTGACGTAAGAGACTTCACCCACAAGAACCTCGTAAAATGGTTTCTTACATGATATACATATTTGTACTCTCCATCGGGAATGTAAGATAAATCAATAAGATCCATCTGTATTCTAGACAAAAAATTCTTGGCAATTATAGGTTTCGCTGCCAAAGGATGAAACACTGGCTTCCTTACTGCATATGCCGTGCAATTGTTTATGAACTTTTCCACGATTTCTTGCTTAATAAATTCCTATTTTTCACGGACCGAGTTCCACGTTTGTTTTTGACCGCCGTGCTGAGTTATTTTACCATGAATTTGACATAAAACATCATAGAACTTTTCAACTATTAATACAGGATTGTTCGTGGCCTTAACAATTACTCTGTAGTCCCCTGGCAAAACTTCTTCAAGTATGAATTTGCTTTTAACCCAAAACCGTAAGTTTTTATCATAAAGCGAATTATCTTGTGGATTTAACAAAATCGTCTTTATTTTATTTAATAACTCATGGTTGATTAGTGCTTTTTTTTGTTTGGCCTTTGGAAGATTATCTATATATTTTTCCACGATTTGATCAAGAGTATTTCTACTTATGAATATATACTCCATTTTCAGAATTATAAGGAACAAAACCAAATAAGGCAATGCCAAAGAATAAAGCTAATGCTTAAGAGAAGTAAGAACAAGATCAAAGTTTAGACGTGCCAAAAAAAAACCACCAAATGCTCTAGACAAAGACAGACCAAATTATAAAGCAGCGCCAAAGAACAACCCAATGTTAAAGGAGGTAAAAACAAGATCAAAGTAATTAGGCGCGCCAAAAAAAAAACAAATGCCCAGGCAAAGACAGACCAAATTATAAAGCAGCGCTAAAGAACAACCCAATGTTAAAGGAGGTAAGAACAAGATTAAAGTAATTAGGCGCGCCAAAAAAAAAACAAATGCCCAGACAAAGACAAACCAAATTATAAAGCAGCACCAAAGAACAACCTAATATTAAAGGAGGTAAGAACAAGATCAAAGTAATTAGGTGCGTCAAAAAAAAAACAAATGCTCAGACAAAGACAGACCAAACTATAGAGCAGCGCTAAAGAACAAACCAATGCTTAATGGAAGTAAGAACAAGATCAGAGTTTAGGCACGCCAAAAAAAACCCCAAATGCTCTAGGCAAAGACAGACAGACCAAACTATAAAGTAGCATCAAAAAACAAACCAATGTTAAGAGAGGTAAGAACAAGACCAAAGTAATTAGGTGTGCTAAAAAAAACCCAAATGCTTAGGCAAAGACAGACCAAATTATAGAGTAGTACCAAAGAACAACCCAATGCTTAATGGAAGTAAGAACAATAAAGCAGCGCCAAAGAACAACCCAATGTTAAAGAAGGTAAGAACAAGATCAAAGTAATTAGGTGCACCAAAAAAAAAACCAAATCCTTAGGAAAAGACAGACCAAACTATAGGCAGCGCCAAAGAACAACCCAATGTTAAAGAAGGTAAGAACAAGATCAAAAGTAATTAGACACGCCAAAAAAAAAACAAATCCTTAGGCAAAGACAGACCAAACTATAGAGCAGCGCCAAAGAACAACCCAATGCTTAATGGAAGTAAGAACAAGATCAGAGTTTAGGCGTGCCAAAAAAAAACCCAAATGCCCTAGGCAAAGACAGACAGACCAAACTATAAAGCAGCACCAAAGAACAAACCAATGTTAAGGGAGATAAGAACAAGACCAAAGTAATTAGGTGCATTAAAAAAAAAAGCAACCGCTTAAAAAGAGGCAAGAACAATACCAGTTATAGAGCAGCACCAAAGAAATAATACCAGTGCTTAAGAACAAGATCAGTCAAAGACACAAAGAACAGTGACACCAAATATTTAAGTCAGCACTGAATGTGGAGAAATTATGGGCATCACCAATGTCAAATGCGAAGCCAACATCGAATGCGAAGCCAACGTCAAATGCGAAAGCTAATGTCGAAGTCAAATGCAAAAGCCAACGGAAGATGTAAAGCCAACATTCATAAAGAAATATTTAAACCAAGCTCCAAAAAGAGAAGGGAGAAGTAGCAAAGGGCTTTTTTTTATACCCTTGCTCATAATTACGTTATTGCATAATGATGTTATTACATAATTATGTTATTAGAAAAAAACTTTTTTTTTGATTTTGATGATCTTGTGTCAGATTACAACCGACGCACGTCAGATGACCAATTATCAGGTGATGTGCATTACGTTGAAATCGGCATCTGACGTGCGTTGGTTTAGATCTGACGCAAGAATTGATCTGAGGCACAACATAATCATGCGTCACACGGCGGGACAGACAAAAAATTTCAAAGTTGCGTTATTAATATGTTAATTATAATAATTACGTTAATGCATCAAAAAGCATCAAAAACATAACTTTTGTATCACTTAATGCGTAGAAATTGAGTGTCTGTCGCTACGCTCCAGACAATTAAACAATATAAAAAATAACTAAGGATTATTGAAACTTATACAGAGTACATACATTAATTTAGCTAATAACATATACAGATAGTTCAGTTTAGTAATGTGATTAGTTATTTATTATATTTTATTACAGTGATATTTTTAAAAATTAAGCATTCAGATAAATTTTCCTATATAAGCAATAATATATAAAGGTACTTAGATTTGGAGCAACGCGATGACGTATAACCTCAATGCCCCGCGCACAGGCAGGATTTACTTATTTGTGCGAGTGATACAAACCCAAAAAAGAAAATTCAACGTAAATAAAGTTAGATGCTATAAAAATAAACGTTTATCCTCTAAACGTAAAATTTCATTTCTGTCACTTTTAATTAGTGATCAAAGACAGGTTTAAACACTCAGTTCATGTATTTTCGCTTTTTTCGTTTTTTTTTTTCGTGTTTTGCTCATGTGTCAGGCTGATCCGGGATAATCACATTTTAGATTTGTATCACTCTCACAAATAAGTGACGTACCCCCAACCCTATTTTGGTGACGATCTAGGGGTAGTTTGTTTTGATAAATAACGTGACTTTCTAAAAGTATATAAAAAAACTTCTTTTATCAATCATGTTTAATTTTACAAACACGATAAAAAAAACCGCTAAAAGGAACAAGTTCAAAGATGGAAATTTTATATGTATAACTTTATATTTATATTTTAACAATCTGCATAACAAAAAATCTTTATCTTATACGTATGTTTAATGAAGACTTGCTAAAAAATTTTAATGAGAAAGAAACGAGTTTGTCTAATTAATGTTTTTGAAAAGTTAAATGTTATTAAAGAGACTCTATATAGATTTTTTTGAAAAAGAGTATAACGGACATTATGGTAAGAATCATACTAACACACATTGCTATAGAAATAATATTTGTGATAAGTTGGTTTGTTGAAACCTTTAAATATTTCTTCACTGAGCTGTAGTAGCGTTTAATAGGTTAGACAAAGCCATCTTTTTCTGAAATAATTTTGTCAATCTTTAAATATTTCTTCACTGAGCTGTAGTAGCGTTTAATAGATCAGGCAAAGCTTTTGAAAAATAACTCTTTGAATATTTCTTCACTGAGCTGTAGTAGCGTTTATCTAGTTCTTTTCAAATTTACGCCTCTAAGTATTTCTTCGCCAAGCCATAGTAGCGCTTAGTGGTATCACAGTCACAATGTACTAAATCAGAGTAAAGAAATTTTGATGATACCATTATTTCTTATAGTAAAATCGATTCTTAACAATTTTTATTGATACTCTTTTGTTTTTCTAATGATTTTTAATAAATAGAAACGGAAAGAGAAGAACGCGAAAGATCAATTATTTTACAAAATTCATGAAATTGTTGACAAATACAATTATGGCAATAAATATTATCTTGAAGAATATGCAAAGGTAAAAATGTGGACGTTAAAAGAGCATTGAACGCTATGAAGAGAGCAAGCTACATTTTGATCCAATTACAAAATTATAATTTTATCAACACGTTATTTTATTTCTTATAATTTCTCTTTTTAGCTAAAAGTAGAGATGGGCATGCGCGGGATCACACGCGGGATTTTTAATATGATCCCAAAATTAGTGCTCCGCAGATCCGATCCGAGATCCGGATCCGATCCGGATCCGATAGGTCAGATCGGATCCGGATTTATGATTTTACGAATCCAGATCCGCTTAAGGATCTGATCCAATATACCTGTTTAGATCCGTTTGAATCGTGTGTGCTAATTGGTTGTAATATACTTTAAAATTGTCAATTTCATTGTATCATAATTACTTCATGATGCATACAATGCGTTATTCTTTAAAGCTTTTTTTTTTTTTTTTTTTTTTTTTTTTGCTATGAAATACTTTTGTTAAAGCTATCTAGTGAAGCCTTTTCCGTCTATTTTTATAAACGAGTAATTGTAAATGTTGACCTTGTTCACATTTTGTGAAGAATCTGAAGAATATGAACCAACTCCTGCTCGTAATGAACCTGAGGAATATGGACAAACCCTTTCCCATCATGAATCTGAAGATTTTGAATCAAGCCTCCTCCTCTTGAATGAATCTGAAGCTAGTGAATCATCTTTAACACGTGTTAGTAAGAGTAACATTGTGCATACCAGGTAAGATT